TTGGAAAATTCAGCTGTTCCATCAAAATTTGTGAATAATGGTTGTGGTGAGGATCAACGTTTCAACTGTGAAAATATGGATCTCGAAGTCTACTCCTGCCCACATTGCAACTTTTCCACGGATTTAAAAGTCGTTTTGAAGAAACATATCGGAACTTGTCATACTGTCAAACGACTAAACAAACGCCCTGTATTGAAGTACTTGCTCCCCAGTTATAAATGTACGTGTAGTTTTTGGACACATTCCTTGCTCCTTTTTTTGAAACATACGTTCCACTGTAACCCCAGCCATACACAAGGAAAACATAATTTGACAAGTAAGCACACATATGAAGAAAAGATCAAGTGGTTTATTTGTGACCAGTGCGACTTTAAAACAAAGCAGAGACATGATTTGCAAAAACATTTGCAGTTCAAACATTTACATGAAATTCCATGGTTTCAGTGTGAGCATTGTGCCTTTGGAACTAAATATAAGGCAGCATTGAAGTCTCACATAAAATTTAAACATACTCGTAACGAATTCGTGAACTGGCACAAGTGTGACAGCTGCGATTTCAAAACCAAGGCAAAACGTGTTTTGAAGAGACATATAATAAGTCATCACACATCTGACACAGAGATTCAGTGGTTTAGTTGTGACCACTGTGAGTATAAAACAAAGTACAGATCCGATTTGCAAATACATTTGCAGTTCAAACATTTAGGTGAAATTCCATGGTTTCAGTGTGAGCATTGTGCCTTTGGAACTAAATATAAAAGATCATTGAAGTCTCACATAAAATCTAAACATACTTGTTGGCAGAAGTGTGACAGCTGCGATTTCAAAACCAAGGCAAACCTTATTTTGACGAGACATATAATAATGAAGCACACATCTGAAACAAAGATTAAGTGGTTTAGTTGTGACCAGTGTGACTTTAAAACAGAGCAGAGAGACGATTTGCAAAAACATTTGCAGCATGTACGTGAAATTACATGGTTCCGGTGTGAGCATTGTGGCTTTGGAGCTAGATATAAGGCAGGATTGAAATTTCACATGGAATCTAAACATACTCCTGAAGAATTCGTGAACTGGCAGAAGTGTGACAGCTGCGATTTCAAAACCAAGGGAAACAATATTTTGAAAAGACACATGATAAGTAAGCACACATCTGAAGAAAAAATTGCGTGGTTTACTTGTGATCAGTGTGACTATAAAACAAAGCAGAGAGATGATTTGCAAAATCATTTGCTGTTCAAACATTTCAAGGGCTTGTGGTATGAATGCGAATAATTTATTGTTGTTATAATAAAATATTGAACTTTGATGTTATCAATTTATAACCATGGTCCTCGCAACATTTTTCTTTTTTTGCCATTTATAAGATCTATTTTTGAGTGTAAACTGATGTATATTTTATAATAAATTTCATTAAAAAGGAAAACATTGTTTTATTATTAATTTGTTAGTACCAACCTGTACCACCAGAAACGCTAAAGTCACTATTCATCGTCAGTGTGTCTTATTAATCGTTTATCCGTGTCATTTTTTCAATTTATGGTGGTTGTGTTAAGACTAGATTGACGTGAATTACGTAATAAAGTGCATTTTAAGACAAAAAAATCGGTTTTGTCAATTTTTGTTGCCGATTTGTGCACTACCAATTTTGTCACCAAAAACACCAACATCGTTGTCACTAATGTCATAGATTAATATAGATGCGACATACAGACTGATTTTGCGAAACCACCCTTATTGACATTGGAGCCCTCAACTGCCAAAGACAAGCGCCAAATTTAAATAGTCGATGCCAATAAAAAAACTAGTTTCACTACAACTCGTCGCCTGAGAACTTGTTTGATCTATAGACCAGAGCGCGCTCAGGCCAATGTCGACTCTAAGCGTTCACAAGCGATTTTGTTGGTTTGGACTATAATTTCTGCGGCAAATAGTTGTTTGGTTGGTTTTTATAACGACTAAGTGAATATTTTTGGTACATATTTAGATGATTTTACATATTTTGTTTAACTAAGAATTAATTCTTTATTTGTGTTTTTTACTAGCAAAATGTCTTAAACTAAGAATATTGTTGAAATCGTAATAACCCAATGGATTTTTTTCGGAAAAATGTTTGGAAACACTGTGTTCTATTTTGTATGAGTTTTTAAATGTTTTTGGTGACAATTTTTGGGGTTGTTTTCGATACACTGTATGATATTAACAGTGAAAAACAAAGTGAAAAATTAAAATAGTCGAAAAATCGAGAAATCTAATACTTAATGGAAAAATCGAAACCTTAAAAAATCGTAAAACCGAAACATTAAAATATCGAAGAACTGAAAATCGAAAAATAAAGCATCAGAAAATCGAAAAAATGTAAAATTCAAAAATCCAAAATTTAAAAACCGAATAACGAAAAATCGAGAAATCGAAATTCTCAGATTTAAAAATCGGTCAACTGAAAAATCGAAACATCCAAAAACCGAGAAATCGAAAAATTAAAAGATTAAGAAATCGTGGAGTCGAAAAGTCGAACAATTGTGAAACCGAATAGGCCAAAATCGAAAAATCTAAAGATAAATTGAGACATTGACAACTTAAAAATTCGAAAAATTGATAAATTGAGAGATCGAAGATCAAAAAAACGAGAAATCGAAAAGTGATGAAGTCGAAAAATCGAAAAATAGAGAAATCGATAAACAAAAAGTTAAAAGTTGAACAATTGGAAAAGCGAAAAAATCAAAAAACGAAAAAATGGAAAACTGGAAAAACTGAGAAACCGAAATAGGCCAAAATAAAAAATTGAAAAACTAATAAATCGAAAACCTGAACAATCAAATCTCGATAAATCGGGAATGAAAAATTAACAAATCGAAAAATTGAAAAACAGAACAAAACCAGGAAATTGAAAAATCGAAAGATTAAGAAATATTGAAAAATTAAAACATCCAAAAATTGAAAAATCTAAAATTTAAAAATCCAAAAATTGAAAAATCGAAAAAGTAAAAAGGCAGACACATTGAAAAATCCAGAAGTCAAAAATAGAAAAGCTGAAGAATTGAAATATTGAAAAATCCCAAAACTGAAATATCTAAAAACTGAAAAATCAAAAAATTAAAGAATTGAAGAGCAGGAAAATCGAAACACTCGAAGGTCAAGAAATGGGAAAATCAAAACATCGATTAATTGAAAAATCTAAAAATTGAGAGTATAAAAGTCAAATTTGAAAAATTAAAAAATTGAAAATTCGACAAAATGTCGAAGAACTGAAATGAAAAATCGAGAAATCTAAAATTTTGAAAGTTAAAAAATCGAAAAATTGAAACATCGAAAAGTAAAAAAATCGACACATCGAAAAGTCGAAAAATCGAAATATTGAAAAATCCCAAAACTGAAAAATGAAAGAAAAACTGAAAAATGGAATACTTAAAAAATCCGAAAACTGAAATATCCAAAAACTGAGAACATAAAAATTCGAAAAATTGAGCAATCGAAAAATCCAAAAAGTGAAGTCGAAAAATCGAAACCTTAAAAAACTAAAAAATGAAAAACCAAAAACCTGAAAAATCGAAAAATTAAAGAATTGAAGAACAGGAATATCGAAACCCTCGAAAGTCAAGAAATGGGAAAATCAAAACATGCATTAATTGAGAAATCGAAAAATTGACAGTTTATAAATGTCAAATTTGAAAAATTGAAAAAACGAGAATTGAAAAACAGAAAATCTAAAACCGGGAAGTCGAAAGATCGATAATTTAAGAAATCAAAACATTTAAAAAATTCGAAAACTTGAAAAACTGAAATATCGAAGAAATGAAGTGAAAAATCGAGAAATCGAAAAATCTAAAATTTTAAATATTGAAAAATGAAAATACCAAAAACTGAGAAGTCAAAAATTTAAAATTCGAACAAGTAAAAAATCGACACATCGAAAAATCCAGAAGTCAAGAATGGAAACGTCGAAGAACAGAAATATTGAAAAATCACAAAACTGAAAAACCGGAAAACTGAAAAATGAAAGAAAAACTGACGAATCGAAAAACTGAGAATCAAAAAAGTGGAGCCGAAATATCGAAACCTTAAAAAAATCGAAAAATTGAAAAATCAAAAACCTGCAAAATCGTAAGATCGAAAAATTACACAGACTTAAATAGTACTATAATAATTATTTGCTAAGTCATGAGAGTTAGTTGAAAAACTGAAATATCCAAAAACTGAGAAATTAAAAAATTGAAAAATCAAAGAAGTGAAGTTAAAAAATCGAAACCTGAAAAAATAGAAAAATTGAAAAACCAAAAAACCTGAAAAATCAATTAATTGAAAAATCGAAAAATAGAGTTTATAAAAGTCAAAAATTTAAAAATCGAAATATTTGAAAATCGTAAAACTGAAGAGAAAAACTGAAAACCGAAAAATTGAAAAACTGAGAAATTGTAAAATCCAAAAATTGAATAATAAATAGGAGTAAACTGAAAAGTCCCCAAACTAAAATTTCGAAAAACTGAGAATTCGAAAGTTGAAACAGCAAGAAATTATGGTCGAAACCGGTTAGGATGTGTATCAGATCACGGATCATGGTTTATAAACCAAATCGATTCCGAACGCTTAGAGTCGACATTGGCCTGAGTGCGCTCTGGTCTAGAGATCAAACAAGTTCTCAGACGACGAACTGTAATTCGTGTCACCTGAATTAAAGTGAAGAAAACAGTAAGTAGCTTGAAATATTCTGGTAAATATAGTGTCAATTAGTCGAAAGTAAAACCCGTCGATAAAAATATTACGACATTTTTTCTAGTTAATTTCATTCCTAATTAGAAACAAACATTGTCGCCAACATAAGTCCAGGAGTCCTCAACCGACATTTAATTTAAACAATGACGCTTCTCTATTAATCTATGCTTGAACTACAACGCCTACAACGTTTGAGGTTATGTCGGTGTTTTGTTGGTGCAGAAATGTGAGCACAGACTTAAATAGTACTATAATAATTATTTGCTAAGTCGTGAGAGTTAGTTGAAATGTCGAATTTGGAAAATTCAGCTGTTCCATCAAAATTTGTGAATAATGGTTGTGGGGACCAACGTTTCAACTGTGAAAATATGGATCTCGAGGTCTACTCCTGCCCACATTGCAACTTTTCCACGGATTTAAAAGTCGTTTTGAAGAAACATATCGGAATTTGTCATACTGTCAAACGACTAAACAAACGCCCTGTATTGAAGTACTTGCTCCCCAGTTATAAATGTACGTGTTGTTTTTGGACACATTCCTTGCTCGTTTTTTTGAAACATACGTTCCACTGTAACCCCAGCCATACACAAGGAAAAGATAATTTGACAAGTAAGCACACATATGAAGAAAAGATCAAGTGGTTTAGTTGTGACCAGTGCGAGTTTAAAACAAAGCAGAGACACGATTTGCAAAAACATTTGCAGTTCAAACATTTACATGAAACTCCATGGATTCAGTGTGAGCATTGTGCTTTTGGAACTAAATATAAGGCAGCATTGAAGTCTCACATAGAATATAAACATACTCGTGAGGAATTCGTGAACTGGCACAAGTGTGACAGCTGCGATTTCAAAACCAAGGCCAAATATGTTTTGAAGAGACATATAATAAGGCAGCACACATCTGAAACAAAGATTAAGTGGTTTAATTGTGACCAGTGTGAGTTTAAAACAGAGCAGAGACACGATTTGCAAAAACATTTGCAGTTCAAACATTTAGGTGAAATTCCATGGTTTCAGTGTGAGCATTGTGCCTTTGGAACTAAATATAAGGCAGCATTGAAGTCTCACATAAAATTTAAACATACTCGTGACGAATTCGGGAACTGGCACAAGTGTGACAGCTGCAATTTCAAAACCAAGGCAAAACGTGTTTTGACGAGACATATAATAAATCATCACACATCTGAAACAGAGATTAAGTGGTTTAGTTGTGACCACTGTGAGTATAAAACAAAGCACAGATCCGATTTGCAAAAACATTTGCAGTTCAAACATTTAGGTAAAGTTCCATGGTTTCGGTGTGAGCATTGTGCCTATCGAACTAAATATAAGTCAGGATTGAAGTCTCACATAACATATAAACATACTTGTGACGAATTCGTGAACTGGCACAAGTGTGACAGCTGCGATTTCAAAACCAAGGCAAAATGTATTTTGCAGAGACATACAATTATTCAGCACACATCTGAAACAGAGATTAAGTGGTTTAATTGTGACCACTGTGAGTATAAAACAAAGCACAGATACGATTTGCAAAAACATCTGCAGTTCAAACATTTACGTGAAATTCCATTGTTTCGGTGTGAGCATTGTGCCTTTGGAGCTAGATATAAGGCAGGATTGAAGTTTCACATGGAATCTAAACATGCTCCTGAAGAATTCGTGAACTGGCAGAAGTGTGACAGCTGCTATTTCAAAACCAAGGAAAAACATATTTTGAAAAGACACATGATCAGTGAGCACACATCTGAAGAAAAAATTGCGTGGTTTACTTGTGATCAGTGTGACTATAAAACAAAGCAGAAAGACGATTTGCAAAATCATTTGCTGTTCAAACATTTCAAGGACTTGTGGTATGAATGCGAATAATTTATTCTTGTTATAATAAAATATTGAAGTTTGATGTTGTCAATTTCTAACCATGGTCGTCGCAACATTTTTCCTTTTCTGCTATTTATAAGTTCTATTTTTGAGTGTAAACTGACGTATATTTTATAATAAATTTTATTAAAAAAGAAAACTTTGTTTTATTGTTAATTTGTTAGTACCAACCTGTACCACCAAAAACGCTAAAAGTCACTATTCATCGTCAGTGTGTCTTATTAATCGTTTATCCGTGTCATTTTTTCAATTTATGGTGGTTGTGTTAAGACTAGATTGACCTGAATTACGTAATATTGTGCATTTTAAGACAAAAAAATCGGTTTTGTCAATTTTTGTTGCCGATTTGTGTACTACCAACTTTGTCACCAAAAACACCAACATCATTGTCACTAATGTCAGTCTGGCAGTCATTCACCCAGAACCATAACCTCAAATTTGAAACCAAATAAAAATAATGATACACAGTTTATTCATTATTAATTCGTCGGGGTAAGTGAATGCTTTTGTTCCTTACATTTTTAACGGTACTTGTTTCAGTGATGTTTTCCTCGAAAAGCACTGGCGCAGTGTAATTTCTCGTTCAGTATGTGATTATTATTTGGAGGCCCAGAGGGCCAATCCTAATGATATTTCGCCTGTGATTGCCACCCCACATCATTATTTAATATCGATACAAAGGGGTGGTGTGAGCTTTGTGGCCGTATGCATGGAGGAAATCCCGCCTTTGTTCGTTATTGAATTTCTCCATAGAGTTGTTGACACATTCCAAGTGAGTATGATTTTTGAAACAATTCTTCTGGAACCCGTTTTCTCAGTTTTTCGATTTCTTTTGGTATCTAGTAGGCGGATTTGTTGTCACTAGTACCAACTTAAATTAAAAACCATGGCCTACTATTAAATATCAAACATTAATCAAAGTCTAGTATTTTTATGGTAATGTTGTTTTTAGGACTACTTCTCTGACTGCACTGAATCCATAATTAAGGAGAATTACGTCGTGATTTACGAGCTTTTAGATGAAATGCTCGACAATGGTTTTCCCCTAGCCACGGAGAGCAACATCCTAAAAGAACTAATCAAGCCCCCCAACATTCTAAGAACGATCGCCAACACTGTAACCGGAAAAACCAAGTCAGTCCAGCCCCAAACAGCCCCTTTTTGCTAACAGTTTTTTTTAAGTGTGAGCGAAGTGTTGCCAACCGGTCAACTTTCCAACATTCCGTGGAGACGCACTGGCGTCAAATACACCAACAACGAAGCCTACTTCGACGTAATTGAAGAAGTAGACGCCATTATAGACAAATCCGGGGCCACCGTATTTGCAGAAATACAAGGCTACGTAAGCGTCTGTCAAATTTGGGGAACCTAACCTAACTTCTGTTTTAGATTGACTGCTGCATTAAATTGAGTGGCATGCCTGATTTAACCCTCTCGTTTATGAACCCGCGGCTGTTCGACGACGTCAGTTTTCACCCCTGCGTCAGGTTCAAGCGATGGGAGGTAATGATTGACAGTCAGTGGTACCAACCACAATTTGAAAAAAATATGCCGCTTTCTATACGAACTTTATTTAGTGATCTGAACTATTAAATATTGTTACAGGCAGAACGCGTACTGTCGTTTATCCCTCCCGACGGCAATTTTCGCCTGATTTCGTACCACATCAGCAGCCAAAGCGTCGTCGCAATCCCGATTTATGTCAGACATAACTTGTCGATTAAAACTGGGGAGCAAGGGAGGTTAGATTTGACAGTAGGGCCAAAACAAACGCTCGGTCGTACTGTCGAAGCGGTGAAGATTGAGGTTTTGATGCCCAAATGTATTCTAAATTGTGTTCTTACTGCCAATCAGGGTAAATATAATTTCGATCCGGTTTCAAAGATCTTGCATTGGGATATTGGGAGGATTGATGTGACAAAACTGCCGAATATTAGGGGGAGTGTATGTGCTTGTAATTTTATATATTTTGTGTGTTAAGGGTGTTGTTTTAGGTTTCTATCGCCAGTGGTTCGAATACCGCTGAAATAAATCCTTCCATAAATGTGCATTTTACTATAAACCAGCTCGCTGTGAGTGGGTTGAAGGTAAATAGGCTTGATATGTATGGTGAGAAGTACAAGCCCTTTAAGGGTGTGAAGTATATAACGAAGGCGGGCCGATTCCAGATTAGGATGTAGACAAACAACTGCAATATGTGTTTCATTTAATGTTAATCTGAATCTTTTGTTTATTTTTGTTTATAAATATATGAAATTGAAAATAAATCTTATTTATCTACGTTGGCTTTGTTTGAACCCTATACACATGTATGGTGTGAAAAAAATACCGATTTCCGGAAAATCTATAGAGATACATATCCGGAATGATACGGGGGTGACCGAATTCGAATTAAAATTTCGCGCTGGAAAAAATTAACAACATAGAGGGTGTATTTTGGTTTGGTGAGTGAAAGCATGGTGAAAACACGCGGTGACTGAGCTAGATTAAGTTTAGTTGATTTGGTAGTTAATAAAATGGAGAAACCGTTTACTAAGTCACAGTTTCCCCAACACGCGTAGCTAATTCTTGCGGTTTTTCGCAGCGGAAATATGCGAATTTTCGACCGACGCCAACACGTGGTGTAAATTTGACTTATTGTTTGTAAATTCGCAGTTCATGTTAGGATTTTAATCGTTAACTGGTTCTAACACAGTTTAACAGACACAAATTTGTTCTAAGATATTTCATGGAATTCACTTAAACAGGACTCGTCCTTTGTTTATCTAATTATGAATAAGGTTTCTGGATGCTTATACTTAAGTGTCTTGGGAAAAGGACGGTGAAAAATGATATCGTGAACTAAAAATTTCTCGGCTTTAGGCAGTTATCATATCATCAGTATATCAGAGCAAGTGAAAATGCCAAAAGTGGTCCCAAAATCGGTCCTAAAAGTAAGAGTCTGGTTGCTGGCACCTGGGGTGAGTCTACGTTCGTCATAAAGATTGATCTTTCGGTACTTCAGTATGATGGTACCACTTTTATCAAAAACTAAATTGGTGTTGTAGTACAAGGTTTCGGTGCCAGTTGTTTCCTTCTCTAGTAAATTGACAACCAAGTAAAGCTGGCGGTCTTTGGCTATATCGCTCAAGTCTTTTATCTCTTGGGTTGAGTTGTTGATCTCGAGGGCGTAGACCTCTGGATCTCGGACGAGCGTGGTGAGGCCATACTTAGGAAAAACGATTATGTTGATGGACTGAAAACACGTTTTGTGGATTTTAGCTTTCAAAAAGAGGTAATTTTACTTGATGTTTAGCTATATCAGCGTACTGTCTGTATTCCTTGATATTTCTTGTAAACTCTAATTCTGGAAAATTCCATGTAGCTTTCAAACATTCAATCTAAAAGAAAAAAGATAGAAAGGAGAAAGTGGTGGGGTGCAGAGTAAGGGGTGTTGAGCGGGGAATTTCAAGGGTGTCTTTTATGAATTTTTGTGTTAGTCATTGAGGATTTGTTGTTGACCTAAAACATTGTCGATGAATTTGAAACCATGTTTTTTGTGTACTCCGTCCTGCCCTAAGGTGGTGGAAGAAACACCGGAGCTAGTGAACGATTGCCTATGTCTTATTTATTTCGCATATTTTATCTGTTGTTTTGTTTATTTCGCATGTGTTTTTATTTATATGTATTTTGTTTGGGGATATGTTTGGAGGGGGAGGGGTGTGCTTGTTTGTTTGTTTGTTTAATTCGGTCAACGACGCCCAGATCATTTTAATTCGGTGTTTAATACCAGATAAATATTTTAATAAAATCCATAGCTTCTTTGTTATTATCAGATAAATTCTTTGATAAAAATCAACGACGTAAATGTAGCTTAATTCAATAAAATCATTGCCAAAATGTGAATAATATAATCTCTTTCAAACTTCTTGTTGTTTAAAATCATTGATAAAAACATGAATAATTTCTCATTTCATTTTCTTGTTGTATAAGATTGTTGATTACACGTGCATCATTTAATCTCATTTAACAAAGCAATTTCTTGTAGAGAAATAAGGATTTTGCAATTAAGCTCCGCCCTCTTGACTCATGATGAATAAAAAAAATCATTACAATTGAGATAGGGCGGGTGGGTGGGGCGTATATTTTGCCCTTTTTTTCTTAATATACGTAGTCATCTGTTTTAAAGTTTTGTTGTGAAAAGATGACTACGTATATTAAGAAAAAAAGGGCAAAATATACGCCCCACCCACCCGCCCTATCTCAATCGTGATGATTTTTTTTCTCCATCGTAAGTCGTGGGGCGGAGCTTAATTGCTAACTCCTTGTTTTCCTACTAGAAATTCCTATGTGAAACATGTTCTTGAGAAATTGTGTTGTTTAAAGTAAACTATATGTATTAACTAAAAAAGAAAGCCAAAAATAAGTCCCACCCATTTGTCTCGATCACAATCTAGCTTTAATTTTGAATATAATCACAATTGAGATAGAGCGGGGCTTATATTTTGCCTTTTTTTTCTTAATATACATAGCCATCTTTTCACAACAACAAACTTAAATCGTGGTTAAAATGGTACATTTTTGCAAGGAAATGTGGATTTTGCAATTATAGGGCGGAGCCTAATTGCAAAATTATTATTATTATTATTATTAGTTAAATCTTTCCCAACGAGGTAATCCCAATTATAGGGAAAGAGAAGAGATCGATATTTTCTCATACAAATTTTCCATTTTAAACATGTTTTGTTTCATGTTGCGAAAAGAAGTCTACACATATTAAACCAAAAAGGCAAAACATTATCCCGCCCACCCGCCCTATCTCAATTGTGATGATTTTTTTTATTCACCTTGAACCAAGAGGGTGGAACTTAACTACAAAATAATTATTTCTTTATAAGAAATTAAAAGCATGTTTTTGACTATTGTTGTTCAAAGAATATCCACTATGTATATTAAGAAGAAAAAAAAGGCAAAATATAAACCCCGCCCATCCACCCTGTCTCAATTGTGATGATTTTTTTTATTACAGAGACTTAAAACACGTTTAAAATGGTAAATTTGTGTAAGGAAATATGGATTTTGCAATTAGGCTCCGCCCTTAGGTCTACCAACGAATGAAAATTCATCACGATTGAGATCGAGACGGTGAGGCTTCTCTTCAAATTTTCTATTTTTATTAATACATTTAGTTTTCTTTGTATAACACGATTTGACATGATAATTTTTAGTAGAAAAATAACAATTTTACAATTAATCTCCGCCCCTCGGCTTACGACGAATAAAAAAAATCATCAGAATTAAGATAGGGCCGGTGGGCGGGGCTTCAATTTTGCCTTTTTTTCTTAATATAGATAACCATCTTTTCACAAGACGAAACTTAAAACATGGTTAAAATGGTACATTTTATTATCGGACGAAGCCTAATTGCAAAGTCGATATTTCCTCATACAAATTTTCCATTTCAAACATGTTTTAAGTTTCATGTTGTGAAAAAAAGTCTACACATATAAACACAACAAGGCAAAATCTAAGCCCGCCCACCCGCCCTATCTCAATTGTGATGATTTTTTTATTCGTCGTGAACCAAGGGGGCGGAGCTTAACTGCAAAATAATTATTTCTTTACAAGAAATTAAAAACATGTTTTTGGCTGTCGTGCTGTTCAAAAAATACTATGTATATAAAGAAGAAAAAGAAAAGGCAACCTATAAACCCCGCCCACCCACCCTCTGTCAATTGTGATAATTTTTTTTATCCTTAGAGACTTAAAACACGTTTAAAATGGTAATTTTTTGCATGACGGATTTTGAAATTAGGCTCCGCCCCTATGTCTGGCAACGAATGAAAACTTAATTATTAATTAGATCAGGCCAGGTATGGGTGGGGCTTAATCTTTCAAAATCAAAAACATGTTTTTAATTTCTCGTAGAGTAATAAGGATTGTGCAGTTAAGCTCCGCCTTCTCGGCTCACGACGAATAAAAAAAAATCATCACAATTGCGATAGGGCGGGTGGGTGGGGCTACATTTTGCTATTTTTTCTTAATGGGTGTAGACTTATTTCGACAACAAGAAACTTATTGTATTTCATGGAAATCACTTAAGCAGGACTCGTCCTTTGTTTATCTAATTATGAATAAGGTTTCTGGATGCTTACACTTAAGTGTGTCCTGGGAAAAGGACGGTGAAAAATGTAGAATTCATAATATCGTCATCATCACCGAGACATTTTTCTCGCAACGCGGGATGCATTTTGTGCTTATATTTCATGTGTTTTGTTTGGGATAAGCTGGGGACAGTCCACGATATAAACTCTCAAAGTTAATTGTTTTAAGTAACCAATCACTTGGATAATTTAACATAATGTAAATTCTTTGTCTGAATCGTTGATAAAGTGTGGCATAATTTAACATCAGGTAAATTTTTTGTGCTGGCAGCGGTATTTTCAAATCGAGCACATGTTTGAACTGTAAAATCTCGTTGAACAAATTAACATTGTGGGTCACAATGCAGCTGAATAACTTCACTTTTAAAAATTAACCAATAACATGAACGCACATAAAATATTAAACTCATGTAATTTTGGTAGCTTTGCAATTTTTCACCTCATACGATTTTTTCTATCTCACAATTTGACGAGAGTGTATGGCGAATTTAAATGTTGTTTATTGCTCTTTTTGAAACTTTGACACTTGTTCGGTTGTAGTTTAATATTGGAGTCACAGAGATTGAACATTAAATGGAAGTGACCCAACCACGAGTTTGCGACCGTAACGGCCTGCTCGTACGACATGTAGTGCAGAGGTGCTGTGCAGCAATGGAGGGAGAACAGCCACGACCAGGAGCCCCAAACTGCGCTGGTTCTACAACCCCCCCTATGAGTTACTTTAATTCAGATTTTGCTTTGTTTTTATTAAATTTGCGATATTCAAATATTTGCATTGCTTCAGAACGTTTATTTTGATTTCATTCAAAGTTAGGCAAGTTTTTTTTGTAGCTGAGCATTAAGAGCAACCGGCGCAACTTAGTCGCAGCTTTTTTTCCTTTTTTTTGTCAGTGGGGGAATAAATAATTTTGTGTCCTTCACAGATTTTGTGTTTTATTGAACGCATCCCGCCATTTTTCAAAAATACAACGTAGGATTTATATTTATAAATAATTAATCAGTTTATTTTTAACGAGCAATTATTTCAAGGCTCTAGTTCTAATCTAATCGGATCGATACTTAACGATCTTTGCATACGACCTTGGCACCATTGTTTCACGACTCTATATCATTCCGCCATATTGTCGCAGATCGTCCATTTTCTAGACAACGACAGTTTTGCATTCACGTGTTTTGATAATTTTTCGCGGTTTATTTAAATACTGACATTGGTTAAAAATCTACAGATAACATTTAAAATATGTAAAAGAGGTATTAAACATCAGCATGAAAAAGTACCCAACAACCATGAAGGTTTGGCAACAAAAATCGGCACACAGCATTTAAAATTTTTATTCAAAAAAGCTAAATTTCAATCTTCTTTTTCGTTTAGTAGAAATAGTACTTGCGGGTACTGCAAGTACTTGCAATTAAAAAACTGTTGTTTTCGTAATGAGAATCATTTGAAATCAAACATGTACATTTAAGACACAATAAACTTCATAGCGAGCGAAAATACAAGGAAGCATAAGGTAGCATGAATGTTGGAGCCAGCGGACCCATCAGACCCATCGGACCCATCAGACCCGTCGTTAGGATCGTCGGGATTTTCTTTTGGAATCGGAGCATCCGTTCTCCCGAACAAACCAAACACCAAGACATTCTCCTGCGCTCTGACTGTGGTCAGTTCAACAAAAGTACTATTGGTACCATTCTTGGTATCACAAAACGCTGCGTCTCTCACTGGTAGAAGGTACGAATTTACAGTAACAGGAGAATAGAAAGATGTATTGTCTGCAGGCAAATTCCCTTTCACTGTTATCTTGGTAAATTTGGTGGTACCGTTAATTCTGGCACCACAACTGTCTAGAGTTTCGTCTTCGCAAGCAACCAAGCTACAAACACGAATGTGGGCTTGCGTGGCTTCGGGGTTGGTGCGGTCGTAGGACACAATACCATCGAAAGCTACCAATCTATTAAAAAAAAGAAATAGACAAGGTTATATTGATTTGGTGGTCGTACTTGTAGATTTCTGACGAATTTGTTGAGTTGACTAGAATTTCAAAGGTGCAACAGAAGTCGCGGTCACAAATCATGGTTTCTGTGTAGTTTTGGCTTAGATCGATACTTTGAGTCTGGTAGTTGGAAGCATCGAACAGTCTCTGTGTGACGTAGTCGCTGACGTTAGATTTACTGATGTTAGAAGGTAGTCCAAACGGAGTCTACAACAATCACAGTAGTAACAGTCAAACTAAGGAACTCTTTACCCTTGTTAGACACATAGTGACGTCGTGCCTGGTTTTAATCGACGCCAGTTCTCGAACGACGAATTTAGTACTAGCACTGTCGGCCACGTACATTTCAGGATTTTTACCATCAGCTGCATATATTCCGCTGCCACCACGACCATCTTGCGGCTTCCCGTAGTTGGCAGCCAGAAGATTGACGCCAGTGGAGGCGGCATAACCATGCTGGACGCTTAAAGCTTAAGAACAAGTTTATAATTATAACACATCAAAAATAGTCAGTGGTACTCACAAGTGTGGAACGGCATCGTTGAGATCCAAGCCGTGGGAAAAACAATGTCTGTAACCTCACTATTCTGAAGTACCGTTCTCGACGGGTGATTGTACAGTATATCAAAACAAGTGAAAATGCCAAAAGTGGCCCCAAAATCGGTCTTGAAAGTAAGAATCTGATCCTTGGCACCCGGGGTGAGTCTACGTTCGTCGTAAAGATTGATCTTTCGGTACTTCAATATGATGGTACCACTTTTGTCAAAAACCAAATTGGTGTTGTAGTACATGGTTTCGGTGCCAGTTGTTTCCTTCTCTAGTAAATTGACAACCAAGTAAAGCTGGCGTTCTTTGGCCATATTGCTTAGGTCTATTATCACTTGGGTTGAGTTGTTGATCTCGAGGGCGTACTCCTCTGGATCTTGGACAAGCGTGGTGAGGCCATACTCAGGAAAAACGACTATGTTGACGGACTGAAAACACGATTTGTGGATTTTAGCTTTCAAAAAGAGGTAATTTTACTTGGTCTTTAGCTCTATCAGCGTACTGTCTGTATTCGTCGATATTTTTTCTTATAGTTTCCTGGGGCGTGTCTGCAGTTTGAGGATAGTACTCGACGACTGCAGCTTTATAACTCTGAAACAATAAAGATTGAGATAATGAATATTATAAATACCTGTCGTACTAATCCATAGCTGCTGAATAAGCTAATCGTTATTAAGACGCGTAACCACATTTTTGCAAAAACGTGAGAAGAGAGTGACGCCGAAAACCTTTTAACAGCAGGCAAACAGTTTATTTGCTTAGATAAGATTTGGTATCAGTGTGGTTTAGCGAGGAGTGTTAATTTAACATGAGTTATTGTTTAGCTTAGTATTAAATCATGATGCAGGAATTTTTATCGGTTTATGGGAAATACTAGGTGCAGCTTTGAACTGTGGTACCTAAGTCATAAACTGCGGTACCTAAGTCATAGTTTGATACGGTTTGCGAAAATTTTCCATCATGTTTGTTTTTAGTGTTGTATCCGTTATAGAAGACTACTGTTCAGATTTGAATACGTAGTTTTTATTTACTTGTTTGCATCCTGGAAGCGTAATCTTTACAGCTTGTGTGATATAAAAATGTAGGTACCCCATTTTCGGTTCTATTATCTGTTATCTATCTCCGAGGTTAGTTTAACTGATTATCGTGAAATTTCAAATGTGTTTGAAGTTTATCACGTTGGGAAAGTACTAAACGAAATTTTGATGACGTTAAGTAATTAATCCCGCTTAAAATTATGTGTAATGGACTTGTTAATCTGTGATTAGTAATGTGTTGATAATTTAACTTTAAGTGTACAAGTTATCCTGCAAAAATTAAATTTTTGATAATACATTATCATCATTATTTTCTATTAGGTTTGTTGAAATGTCCACACAATTTAATTTATTTAGGTTTTTCTGCCTTGCTTTCTCTTGTTCCTCTTTTTGATTTTCCGAGCTGAAGAATTTGAAAGAATTTTATATATAGGTAGTGTTTTTTTTTAACAATATGAAACGACCTTGTTAGATGTGGTGTCTTGTTTTTGAAAAAGTTTGAAAGAAACTTAAAGACCCCTATTGTCTTCTTCTTAAGAAAAAGTTTCAACGAAAGTTGAGAAAGTTATAAATAAACAAATTTACTAACAAATTCATGAATAAAGAAAATTAAGAACAAATTTAGCAACATATTTATAAGTAAACACAAAAAAAAAATTTTTAAACGAATTTATGAACCAATTTATAAATAAATTGCTATGAAATTTGCAACAAAGCTATAAAAAAGCAAAAATATAAAGAAATTTATAGACAAATAAATTTAGCAACAAATTTATAAACAACTTTTTAAATAATTATAAAACCAAAGTTATTAACAATTTATATAAAAAAAAATATGAACAAATTTAACAAAAAATTAAAAGCCAATATAGTAACAACATTATAAATAAAGCAATAAACGAATTTATCAACAAATTTATAAATATATTTAGTAACACGTTTACAAACAAAACTATCAACAAACTTAAAAAATTAGTACCATATTTATAATAAATTTAGCAACAAATTTCGACTCAAAAAAAATGCATAAAATCTATAAATAAACAAATTTGCAACAAATTTAGCAACAGATTATATAAACTATTTGATAAAAATATTTATAAAGAAATTTATAATCAACATAATTGTAAACAAATTTACCGACAAATTTATGTACAAATTTTTAACCAATTCTATAAACAAATTTATAAACAATTTTTTTAACAAATTCAACAAAAATTAAAAGCAAATTTCGCACCAAATTTATTAACAAATTTAACAACAACCTTATTAATAAACAAATTTAGAGACAAATTTACCATCCAACTTATAAAAAAGTTAGCAAAAATTTAGCAATAAATTTATAAATGAACAAATTTATTGATAGATTTATCAACAAATTTATCAACCAATTTTAAAAAAATTAGCAACAAACCTGCAAACGAATTTACCAAAAATTAAAAAAAAATTATCAACAGTTGTAGAAACAAATTTATATGTTAATAAATTGTAATATAAACAAATTTGTATACAAATTTATTGATGGACAATTTTGTAAATAAATTTATAAATAAAGCAATTTAGCAAAAAATGAATAAACAGATTTATAAAGAAATTTAACAATAATTTTTTGTGAACAAATTTTGCAACAAATTTTAAACTAATTTATCAGTAAGTTTATAAATAATTTTATAAAAAAAATTATCAATAAACCTTACAACTAAACAGGTAACAACAAATTTATAAAGCTACTTAGCAAGAAATTTATAAACAAATTTAAGAAAAAATTTATAAACAAAATTACCAAAAAATTTATCTACTACATAAAAAATTAGCATAATAATTATAATAAATTTATCAATAAGTAAATTGATATATAAACAAATTTGTATACAAATTTAGTAATAAATTTTATGAACAAATTTTGCATTAAATTTTGTGTACAAATTTATAAATGGACAATTTTGTAAACAAATGTAGAGACAAATTTATCAAGAAACTTATCAACAAATTTCTAAACAAATTAGCAACAAATTTATAACTCTATTTAGCATGAAATTTATAAACAAATTTAGCAATAAATTTATAAACAAAATTATCAAAAAAGTTACCCACAAACCATAAAGAACAGTATTATAATTATAATAAATTTGGCAACAAATTTATAAAAAGTTTATGAATTTTATGCATAATTCTAAAAAAAAAATTGCATAAAATTTTATAAATAAACAAATTTATCAACAAATTAAAAGCTAATTCAGCACCAAATTTTTTATTTACAAAAAATTTTGAAACATACATATTTAGGAACGAATTTATATGCAAATATAGCAACAAATTTATAAAAAATTACCGACACATTTATGAATAAATATTGCAAAAATTGTAGCAAAAAATTTATAAGTAAAGAAACTTATAAATACATTTTTCAACCTATTTATAAAATATTTAGTAACAAATTTGTAAATAAAGACATTTAGAAACAAACTTATCAACGAATTTCTAGAAAAATTATCAACCCGATTTTTCGATTTATTGTTTTATCAATTTTCACTTTGGAATTTTTCACCATTTCAATCCTTAATTTTTTTGATTTTTCGATGTGGCGGTTTCTCGATTTTTCAATTTTTCGATTAGTTTCTTTGACATTTTAATTTTTCGGTTTTTACTATTTTTTCATGTTTCTATTTTTGTTTTTCAATTTTTCAATTCTTCGATTTTTTAGGTTTTTCATTTTTTAATTTTTCGATTTTTTAAATTTTCGATCTTTCGATTTCCCGTACATTCAATTTTTTGGTTCTCCAATTTTTTTTCGATTTATTGTTTTATCAATTTTCACTTTGGGATTTTTCACCATTTCAGTCTTAGTTTTTTTTTTATTTTTCGTTCGATTTTTAATTTTTCAATATTTTATGGTTCAATTTTCCAATTTTTAGATTTTTTGATGTTGCGGTTTCTCGATTTTTCAATTTTTGGATTAATTTCTTTTAATTTTTGAATTTTAAGTATTTTTTCATGTGTCTATTTTTGGTTTTTAATTTTTTATATGGACTTCAATTTTTCGATTTCTCGACATCTGGTTTCGATTTCTAAAATTTTTCACTTTTTCAATTTCTCTATTTTTTAACATTTGAATTTTGGGACTTTTGAGATTTTTTCAATTTCAGGATTTTTCAATATGTCGATTTTCAATTTTTTTATTATTTCAATACATAGTTTTTCAATATTTCATTTCTTCAATTTCTAGATTTTTTTTCGATTTCTTGATGTTTTTACGAGGTTTCACGGCTTTTCAATTTTTCGATTTTTCAATTTTTCAATTTTTGGCGCTTCCAAATTTTCAACTTCTCGATTTCTCGATATTTTGACTTTTTGACTTTTAGATTTCTTTATTGTGTGATTTTCCCATTTCGATTTCTTGAGTCTCGATTTCTCGATTTTTACTTTTTCAATTTATCAATTTGTCAATTTTTGGCGTTTCTAAATTTTTAATTATTAATCGATTTTTGAAATTTTAAATTTCTGGATTTGGCCTTTGGACTTTTAGATTTATAGTTTGTTTGGATCTTCTATTTCTCTATTTCTCGAATTTTTGGTGTTTCGATTACTTGACGTCACGATTTCTCAACTTTTTGGTTTTTCAATTTTTTAATTCTTCGATTTTCCAATTTTTCGATTTTTTGATAATGCGATTTCTCAATTTTTCAATTTTATCAATTTTCACTTTGGGATTTCAATCCTTAATTTTTTTGCATTTTTTTAGATTTTTCGATTTTAATTTAGTAATAAATTTTATGAACAAATTTTGCATTAAATTTTGTGTACAAATTTATAAATGGACAATTTTGTAAACAAATGTAGAGACAAATTTATCAAGAAACTTATCAACAAATTTCTAAACAAATTAGCAACAAATTTATAACTCTATTTAGCATGAAATTTATAAACAAATTTAGCAATAAATTTATAAACAAAATTATCAAATAAGTTACCCACAAACCATAAAGAACAGTATTATAATTATAATAAATTTGGCAACAAATTTATAAAAAGTTTATGAATTTTATGCATAATTCTAAAAAAAATTTGCCTAAAATTTTATAAATAAACAAATTTATCAACAAATTAAAAGCTAATTCAGCACCAAATTTTTTTTTTACAAAAAATTTTGAAACATACATATTTAGGAACGAATTTATATGCAAATATAGCAACAAATTTATAAAAAAATTACCGACACATTTATGAATAAATATTGCAAAAATTGTAGCAAAAAATTTATAAGTAAAGAAACTTATAAATACATTTTTCAACCTATTTATAAAATATTTAGTAACAAATTTGTAAATAAAGACATTTAGAAACAAACTTATCAACGAATTTCTAGAAAAATTATCAACCAATTTATAAACACTTTAACATTTTTGCATATCAATTAGAAAACATTAATAACAAATTTCTAACCAAATTTAGCAACAAATTGATAAATAAACATTTTTTTCAGTATTTAGCAAACAATCTTTATTCCAACAAATTTTGGTCTAGGTTGACAATTAATTTTAAAAACGAGATGTCAAAAAAAAATTGGCAACAAATTTATTAATCAATTTATAAAAAAAATAAATAAAGAAATTTAGAAACCTCTTTGTCAATGAAGTAATGCTTCCATTTGTTAAACAAATTTAGCAACAAATTCATAAATAAACAATTTTAACAACAAATTGATAAACAAATTACAAACAAATTATAGACAA